GGAAAAGTTTGAACAAGGAATTGGAGTTGCAGATGAAGCAGATTCTTGAGAGGGCACAAGTGGAAATTACGAAAATTCAGGAGGCATATGACGATGATGAAACAGATGTTTCTGTTGATGATCTCAGTGAATGATACAGGTGAGGGTGTATGTGGTATCTTCCTTTTGCTTCAACTCAGTTGGCATATTCAATTGCTTGCTACAATTGCGTAACATTTGACATTTTCTTATTTCTTTAGATAAAATTTTTGTGAGATTATTGTATTATGATATGCTAAGTTTGCTCTGATTGTATAATTTTGTGTATCTAACATTGTGTTGCTTGTTCCAAAGAATTAACGAATTGGTTTTATTCCGCTGTTGAGTTATGTGAATATATGTTGTTTCATGGCATTTTCTCCATTGATTAAGTAGCTCTGTTTTGGAAAGCATTTGACTTACTTTGGCCCATTTTTTGTTTTTAATTACTAATGTTAGCATCAAATACATTAAAAACATGGTCTTAATGTTTTGCCTTCGACGCAGGTACCCACAAACTATGGTTTTTGTGGTTATGCAAGGGCTAATGCATTGTGTTCTATGGCTTCAATTATGTTTGAGATGCGTGCTTTTTATGCATTTAAAGGGAAAGTTGTCGTGAATCTATTATTTTGATTAGGGCTGGTTCGGTATGGGATACCGAACCAAAAATGGCATATCAAATCCCGAACCAAAAATTTTCGGGACGTAAATCTCATGACCGATCCCGAACCGAAATTTCGGGATTCCCAAATTTCGGGATTCCAGAAATATTTTCGGTATTTCGGAATTTCCCGAAACCGAACATCATCATAATCCAAATCGTCTTAGATTAATATTGAAATCATCCGAACCTGCATTAAAAATCCAAATTGAAATCAGAGACATAGTGATAGTGAATCAGTGAAAGATTTATGGTCGAGAAAGAAGCAGAGTTAAGAGAGGGACCTCCTCCTGACCCGAGCCCCCAATTCGAAACCCTAAGCCCCAATTCAAAACCCTAACCTCAATTCGAAATCCCACACACACAGAGAATCACTGGAGAGAACCGGAGGTGGGGATGAAGCCATGAGGTGTGGTGGTGGTCGGAGTGGAGATAGTTCGTCGAAGTCAGATTGCTAGACGGTGGGTGGTTGCTAAGCTTCAAATCCGAGAAAGAGAGGGAGAGTCTGAGACTGAGTGAAGGCAGATGAGAGGCGAAATGAAATGAGAGAGAGTGAGTAGGGATGTTTGGCTTGGTTTTGGATTGGGTGGAAGGAAAGGTTAGGTGGTTTCTAGGTTGTAGAGAGAGAGAGAGAGAGAGAGAGAGAGAGAGAGAGAGAATACGAGAGAGATGAGACAGAAAAAATGAGAGGGATAAAGGATTAGGTAGGTTATGAGTTGTAGAGAGAGACGAAACAGAAAATAAGAGAGAGATGAAGGGTTAGGTTATGGGTTGTAGAGAGAGGGAGTCTGGGAGATAATCAAGAAGAGAGATGACTGATGAGACAGAAAATAGGGAAGAGAAGAAAGCAAGCACCCTTGCCTTGCGTGACCCATCCCTTCCCATGTGCTTGATGCAACGTTTGTCAGCACCACACCACACACACACTGACACATATACATATATATACACACACACACACCGACACATATACATATATACACACACACACACACTGACGCATATACATACACACACACACACACACACACATTCCAACACACACACACAGACGCACACAGACACATGCACACACACACATATATATAATATACCTAATATAATATTAATAAAATTCGGTTCGGGATCGGGAATACCGAACATTTCAAATTGTAAGACCGAATCCCATACCGAACAATTAGGGATCGGTTCGGTTTCGGTACTAAAATTTTCGGGATTTTTGGTTTGGTATTTTTTCGGTTTGGTTTCAGTATGGTTTCGGTATGGTTCGGGATTTTCGATATTTTTTTCCAGCCCTAATTTTGATGGAATACGCACTATACGAAACAAGTTTCAACGATCCAACCGTCAAACTTATTTGTATATACTTCAAGATCACATAGGCCAAAAATCGCAAAAACAAAGATTCAGAGATCAACCGGACAAAACTTTTCGACAATTATAAACGAAAAATCACGATTTAACAGTAGTTTTAACTCCGATTTTGATGATTTTTAACAGCTACACTCACTGATCCTATATGAATACAATGAACTAATTCGATTGTCAATTTAAAAGATTTACACAAGTGGATACCACAAAATCTTATGTTATACTTAATAAAAGTATAAATAAACTCCAAGTGTTAGTAAGTCTATTGTTTTGATGGGATACGCATTCTACAAAACTAGTTTCAACGATCCAACTGTCAAACTTGTTTGTATATTCTTCGAGATCGCATACGCAAAAAACAAACATTCAAAGATCAAGTTTTCGACGATTATAAACGAAAAATCTTATTCAAAGATGTTTTATTTGTCTTCAAGTTTACAAAGGATTAAGACTGAAAATGAATCCTGAATTACTTACTTGTATTAAAATTGGAAGACGATATTGATTTTCTACAAGGAAATAATAGGATAATCGTAGCCATTGTTTATCTACATAAATATGGCATTTACTCACAAAAATCAACCCGCTCATTATTGAACTAAAACCTATTGTCAATAGCTTAGCATTGAGAATATAATAGTGAGGATAAGATTAGCTTTGAAGATTATGGCTTCTGTAGGTTTGGAGAAGGTTTTGAAGAGAGATAGGGGAGGGAGGTAGCTGCTGCAACTGGGTTTGTAGTTTCTGCTAGGAAAAATTTGTTGACTTTGCATGATGCAAACTGACATCGCACAAAATTGTTTTGCGCGACGAAGGTGTGCATTTGTTGCACAAAATAGCTTTGCGCAACAGAGGTGCACCTTTGTCGCGCAAAACAGTTTTGCGTGACGTTAGTCTACGTCGCGTAAAGTTCCATTGCGCAAAATGTCTTTGCATGACGTTTTGTTGTCACCGTTGCTCAAACATACTTTGTGCGACGCAATTTGCTCCGTTGCGCAAGTTGCCGTCGCGGAAATATGTTTTTGTACTAGTGAACACTTTTAACCACTAAAAAGCACTGCCAAGTTCCCCTAATTAAAAGATAACAAATTAATTTTTGCATTTTTATAGGAATGAGGATCCTCTTCGGATCCTCTTTGTGAGGTTCTTGAGGATTCTCAAATAGTGTCTGTTTATCGCACATCGTGCAACTAGTCCTCTTTTTTTATAGGAAAATGCTATTTAAACACATATTTTTTACCTTTCATACACTCTTGTTGATCTTTGCCCATCTTCTTCAACTCATTATATTCATAAAAGATTGAGAGAAGTGTATGAGAAATAAAAATAGATATGTGGATAATACCCTTTTAATAACAGTGAGATTAATAATTATTATTTCTAATGATTGTTTTTATTGCTGGGCTGGGTGATAAGGGCCTCAGCCACAATTAAAAGTCACAATCAGGCTATGTAGGCCTTCTCAAAGTTGAGCTAGCCTATACCGATTGGCCCAGTGAAGTTGGGTTCTTCCAATTGTTGAATATCTTTCGTAATTGGCCCAAAAAGCCCAAGCTCGTCTCGTTGTGTTTTACCTTGGTCCAAAATTTCCCGAATGTTGGAAGAAATCTCTCTTCCCGCGAATTAAAAAAGAAGAAGAAAGTCTTCGCTTTATAATTACAAATCATTAATATTTGAAAACGCAGATCGATTGAGGAACTCAAACCTAACAAATAAACAACCCCAATTAAAATCCACACAAGATGGGATTGAATATCTGTTTCAATCCTACTATGTAATAGTGAAGAAGAATAAAAAATATGAAGATAAAGAGAAAGATAAACAATATTTTTTATGTGGTAAAACCCCCCATACAATGAGAAAAATCCACTGGCACATTGTCGGTTGAAGAATCCACTAAAGAATAAAGATTTTTACAATTGTAATATAACTCAATTACTCAATTGTAATCTCCTGAATGAATGCATATGAATCTTACCATACAAAGTCCAGGAGATCTGATCTTCTTCAATGAGTTGTCGTGCAATCCAAGTCTTCTTCTCTTATACAGTATAAGAAATAAGCTAACTCGCGCTTTCAATAGTCATCAAACAAACAGGGTTCACTCCCCCTTTTTGTGGTGTAATTTTCATTAATTAATGAAGTTCTTGTGTTGCCTTCACAAACTTGAACAAGAAGTCGCTTCACAAAATAATTAATAAGTGATCCACCTTCTTTTCCTTTCAAGTAAAACTCCTACCGTTGTTTTCTGTCTCCCCAACAAAAGAAATACTGACAGCTCGATCGACAAGTGCTTTTCTGCTTCACACCTTCGAATACTTGTGAGGATCCGATATGACCACAATTTTCTTATAATCTCTCTACTTTTCACATGCATGGTTGGTCGTTTTTTTTTTTTTTTTTTTTGGTGAAGTTAAAGCTCTTTAGATCAAACCCTAGTTTTTGAATTCCTATAATTTTTTTTTCCAATTTGGAATAAAGAAAATTAATAATGCCTAAGCAAAATAAGGGTGAAGTGCTAATTTAGTCCCTGAACTATCACCTCAGTGAAAATTAGATCATGAATTATTATTTTATTAAGTCCCTGAATTATTTTTTCGGTAAAATAAGTCCTTAAATTTATTAAAAATTGCTAATTTCATCCCTACTATTATATTCAAAGCTATTTTATCCAATTTTTCCGTCAACTTTAATCACTTGACACACTTTAGAGTGTAATAGGTCATTTTCTTGCCTATAAGCCCTTAGCATTTTAGATACGTTGTGAATATAACGTCTAATTTACTATTTAAATTAACTACATATCTCGCATACATCTACAGAAAAAACAGAAAACAATATAAATTACAAGTAGAACCTACAAGTCCATAAATCTTCAAACCCAAAATTTCAAAGTACTTAGAATTTCAACAAGTTCACCCTCATGCCACCAAACAGAGAAAACCAGATGGGTTCATACTCTAAGGCCAACATTGTCCACAAGCCACCAAGACTCTCAATGGGAAGTCTCCAAAGAACCATACCTGACATCTCAGCTGAACTAAGCAGCAGCATCAGCAGCAATGAAGCCATTGACGATGACATTCATCTTCCAACTATATCTGAGGTTGAGGATGCCAAGTGTGAGTGCTGTGGCATGTCCGAGGAGTGCACGAACGAGTACATAGATAGTGTGCGCAGCCAGTTTTCGGGGAAGTTAATTTGTGGGTTGTGTGCTGAGGCTGTGAAGGAAGAGATGCACAAGAATGGAGGCAAACGAGAAGCGGCTGTGAATCAGCATATGAGTTCTTGTGAAAAGTTCAATAGGCTTGGTAGGGCATACCCCGTTTTGTACCAAGCTGAGGCCATCAGAGAGATTTTCCAAAAGAGTTCAAGAATTAGGGCAAAATCCATGAGTCCTAGAGATGAGAGTGTTCGAAAGAGTAACGGGGGTATTGCAAGGAGCTCTAGTTGTATTTCCGTAAGAGTTAATTAGATTTAAATACTCAAAATTTGAATTTCTTTTATTAAACATCCATGCCTTTTAAAATTTTGATCAAGACGCTTTGGTATATTAGGCCACATTAATATTTCTTATTTTTAAAATTTTTAAGTTAAAATTTTACATATTGATTTCTAAATTTGTCCTTTTAATTAGTTGAGAGAGTTTTTTTTTCATCCGGCCATTTTTTTATTCATGTATTTTAGGAGTTGTGGACTCTTTTTTAGGAGATAATTTTGGTTTTTTCGCTCAACATATTTATCCAATTATCTCTTTTAGTTTTTGTTTTCGTTCAAAACATTTTTTTATCCTAAAATTGAAATGATGGACGCTTAGATTTTTTTGTTTGTTTATTATTTAGTATACTTTTTGTTAGATAATTATTTTGTATACATTTGAATTTGTATATATTGTTGATTAGTGATAATGGTACGTTTATTGTTGGTTATCTTATATTCGTTTTGTATTGATTGGTACGTTTATTTTAATTTTTGAGTGTACATATCGTTGATTGGTACGTTTAGTTATAGCTTTTCGTACGTTTTATTTTAACTTTCAGTACGTTTAGTTTTAGCTTCCGGTACGTTTAGTTTTGTTCTCGTTGATTGATAGATTTTTTTTCACAATTTTGTTACGATTGTTTTTGTATACATTATGGATTGTACCATTTAGTATCATATGGGTACGATTAATATTATACATATCGTTGATTGGTACATTTACTTTTGTTCTTCAACGTTGTTTACTAGTACGTTTATTTCCGGTTTTAGTAGGTTTGTTTTCATACATATATTTTTTTATTGGTACGTTTGTCTCATTCTCGATGTTATTTTCTTATATGAATTACTACAAAAATTTATATATGGATTCCTACAAATATCTTAAATGGTATTTTATTTCTTCATTGCAAGGAAAAAAAAAGCAAACGGCAGGGTATTTTATTCCTTAATAAATTGTATATAATCATTTTCTTTTTGTATAATTATCTTTAGAGGGAATCAAACGACCTAGATTGTAGGAATTTGTTTCAAATTCATTATCTCTGCATTTTTTTCCTGACGTGAAGAATTTAGGCAGTGGTAAGATCTGTAATTTTGGTACAAATAAAGGATATTTATGATAGACGAGACTCCAAATTTTTAGGAAAAATGTTTAATTAAATCTCTAAAATCAACAAATGTTTAGTCTATAGAGTTGAAAACTCAGGCACTTATATCAAAACCCCCCTTTCCGTAATCAACCGGGAAGAACTAATCAGCCCTAAACCTTAAACTTTAAACTCTAAATTGTAAACCTTTGTAATTGGAAAGACTTCATTAGTTTTTTCTCTATGTAACACAACTACTTAACTGATTGAGCTATGATCAAGTGTTACATATTCTATTATGTATATAACGTGAGGATGTGGAGTTTCGTTCCACGTTAGAAAGGTAAGTGATAGGATTTTTCTCACCTACGAAAAGAAGGTTAAAATCACACAAAATATTTGCAAGAGTACAAGGATGTTGTAGTATAGATGCTCATGCAAGGTCGTTCTCCACAAGGAATATTTAAATAATTTATGTAAACACAATTCCTAATTAACTACTTAAACTTAAAATTGAGAAAATAGATTTTGAATTTGGGTAATATTAAAAACGATTTTTAATTAAAAACCAAGCAATAAACTCGTCCAAAATTAATACTATAAAAGAAGGGAGTTACTAGATCCACCTCATTGTCTTATTTTCCCACCCACGTTATAATCCCACTCACCTTAAAAAGTTAAAAAATTAAAATGCTATTTTCTCACCCACTATTATTCCGAAAATAACCTTTAATATATATGTACATATGAAATTATAAAATTGTCTCTTAAAAAATATAACAAATAATATGTAAATGAAAACCACTAAGGTCTGGAAATTCAAATGGAAACAACAAAGGTATCCAAATTCAAAAGAATTTGACAACGACAAATTTAAAAATACGATGGACAAATTCAAATGACCTAAACACAAATTATTCTTCTACCTTGTCAATGGATACATAATCTTCTACCTCTTCCGTATAAGCATCATTGTGGAGTCTAAAATAATCTCAAAAATTCTAGAGGCGACATGTGGACTTTTATTTAAAGAAAACAAGATTGCCCTTAATAAATGGGCAGGCTTCTCAGATGCTCCCACGCGCAGCTCACATCCCTGAAGATCTCAGCAACTGAATACGACTGCCCACAGCTTACCTGCCCTTGGCAAGGAATTAAAGATAAGGGTTAATTACCCAAATCCTATCTTTAATACATTTCCAATTGAAGATTGACTCCAATCAAGTAAATAATCCTAATTTAAATCAATTACGGATAATTACTCCATCATCTCAAGATATTATTTCCTATTTAATATCTTGGGAATATTTAGAGAATATCTCTCCATTAAACACTATATGGTCGGCCCTAGCCATATAAATACGGTACCCCATATTCTACCAAATTTTGAGAGCTTTATGCAACCCTAAAAAAGCTCTAAACACTTTACTCTCTCAGAGAAACTAACTTAGGCATTGGAGATCAGTTGACCTAACCCCCCCCCCCCACCTCGTGGGCACGTGAGGCTTAGGTCTCTGATCACAGGTGTTGATTGTTTTATAGATACATTTTCGTCAAGACTGAAGAAGGCGGAAATTTGTATCGACAAATTGGTGCTTTCATTAAGAGCTGCTTCAAAATACTCAAAAAAGCCTCTTGCATTAGTTTCTTGAATTTTCTGTTACATTGAATTTCTCACACGTTGTATTAATTAATTTTTCCCAAAAAAGTTTCTTGATCAATCCCTGGAGAAAGGATACAATGGTAGGAAATTCAGAAACTACGACGAACGGAACCTCCTACGTGCAAGGATTTGGACCAGAAAGTGGAGACGAAGACATAGCCCCATGACAGAGGTCCTCAAGGCTCAACACGGCAGCAGGAGGAGCCCCATTGCTGTGGAGCTGCGCCACCACCATCACCACAGTGACCCAACAGCCATGGCAAGGCCACCAGGCCACGACACCACTCCTACCACCACTGCCCCTGCAACGTCACACCCTACCAAACCTTAAACAGGGGGCCCATGTCTAATTCCAAGCCCATGGGCAAGAGGCTAAGCCTAACGCAGCAGCTGCCACGAGCAGAGCAGCTCAACGGGCTCAAGCCCAAGCCACTCAGCCCGCAGGCCAAGATGTGGCAGCCCAACAGCCAAGAGGGCCAACGGCTATGCAGAACTAAGGTGAGCAGGCGTAGGTCCAACATGCCCCGCAACCCGCTCTAACGACCCAGCCCGTGACCAAATCCATTCCAAGGCCACATCTAGCAATCCAGATTTCGACCACCGGTCCCGTGATCGATTTAGGGTTACCTACACCCAATTTTCTATAGGAATACCTGCTTTGGGCCTGGATTTTGTACCTGCAGTACACTATACTTGTACCACACATGGAGACATTCATTATCTAAACTTTTCCAATCCAAATGGCGAGCATCACCTGCCCTAGCAGGTCACCAATTTGACCAACGCCCTCGCGCAGCAAACCACCTTGGTGAACCAACTCCTCGAGCGCATCGAGATGCAGCTCACCCCAGACGTGGTGTCTCGAAGCAGAATAAGGGTGAAAGAATATGACTCATTCTAGCGATGTCCCAACAAAAAGCCGTTCAGCCCTCCACAAACCGTGTGTTAGGGTAGTGTGCACTCTCGTTTAGGCCCTCAAGGAAACGTCTTCTCCTGCCCAAATACACATAGAAGCTTTCATTCTCGACTCGGCTCACGAGTCAGTGTGCATTCGAGGTTGAGTCCACACTCCGATGAGCACTCAAGACATTCCAGGCAAAAGGTCCACACGAGGCTAGGCCCACAAGGAGATCCTCCTACGAGACAACATAGTAGGCAACCACCTAACGCCTAGAGAAGAACATGTGAGCAGTCCAGCTCAAGTTCCACTGGTAGCCCTTGCCCAGAGCGACAACGAGCATAATAGGGTGAAACACGTGCACAGCAACCGCGTCACAGATAAGTAGGACATGCTGAAGAGCAACATGAACCAGTAGGTCAACACCAAGGGCAACTAGAGGCTCCACTGCCCCCACCAAGCGTAAATCTAAGATGAAGTACAAAGGCTCGTAGCAGAGCAGTTGCATGGATTCCAAAGCATTAATACTACCGACAATGCCCTTCGAAGAGAAGTGGCCAACCTAAGCAAGTCACCATTTGTAGACGAGATCGTAGACAAAGCCACCGGGAAGTTCAGCCCGTCGCATTTCACTTTGTTCAAAGGAGATGAAGATTTGGATAGACATTTGATGCACTACCGAAGTGCCATAACCCTTTACGCCAACAATGATGCACTCATGTGCAAGATCTTTGCCATGACGCTCCAAGGCGAGGCGCAAGACTAGTTCCACACCTTGCCGCCACATTCAATCCAAAACTTCAGTACACTTTCCTTGATTTTCAATGAGGAATATTCGTCCTACCACTCGATTAAAAAGAAGTCTAACCACCTCTTCAACATGAAGAATGACCCGAATGAGTCACTTTGTACTTAAGTCAAGAGATTCAAGGCAGAGAAGGCGAAGACTGTCGGATGTGATTATAGCATTGCATGCTTAAGGGCTCCTAATAGATCACCCTCTCTTCTGAGAATTAATTATGGGCGAGAACCTGTCCTGGCAAACTCTTTTACTTTGGTAGAAAATCACTCACTCTGGGATAAGGAAAAACGCTCACAGAAACCGTCTGAGTAGCTGCATAACCAATTTAGAAGAAAGAGAGCGATAAACCGCTCAATATCAAAAGCAAGCCATAAGATAAACGGAGGGACTGGTCCCCAGCAAAGGGAGGTACAGCACCCAAGATATACACAAGGTTCTCTCCCAATCAGCCAGATCATTTGCGACCTTAAGGATAAACCATGGTTTAACCTACCGCTACCCAAGAGGGGGGACACCTCTAAGAAAGACCAGACAAAGTACTGCG